TTTACAATTTTGATATAATTTGTGCTCTAAGTGGGTTGCTCTATCAGCTATAGACATGTTTTACAGTCTATTCTCCATTTAACAAATTATCGAGTACTGAATTAGTTGAAAATAATTTCAGTAATCGATTAATCAGATTAATTGTTTCAGCCCTAACATCGACTTCAACATAAAACGTGTGGCTGAGTTGAATAAGAAAGTAAAATTAAACTTGGTTTCTTTTTTTAAGAGGCTGGTAGAGAAAAAGTTGTGTGGTAGGATAGTCAGAAGAGTCTGAGTCAGATCAGGGTGTGGCAGCCTTCCCACTCTTAAAAATAAATACTTCCTTATTTTAAGATGCTGGTTGGCAGAAGTTGAAGTTATGCATGATGTTGAAAATATGTTGCCTGTGTCTCGATTTGGCCCAAACTGAGATCTTAAGCTGAAAATTGAAGATTTCTTTTGTATTATTGTTGTTTCTCTGTCAGATCGATAGAAGTTTAATTCTCATTCTTGATGCAGTTGGTTAAAGCTTTAAAACTAATCATTTCGCTCTTTAAAAATCTTAAAAACCTTGCTATTTTCATTTTCACTTCTTAATGGAACAAGACTTGAAGGCAAGGACAGGTGGGAAATACGCATTTTATTTCTTGTCCTTGTAAAGCAACTCGCCAACGTCTCGCAGGTTTTTCAAAGATGCCTTTATTCATTAGCACCATTTCTAAAGATGTGAATAAAGCCTTCGATTCATTCCATCTTTTAATCCGTCATTGAGCTATGGGAAATTGTGTTTATTTAAGCAATATCGTCATCGCAGTTTGAAACCGTTGTATAGCCATGAAATGTTTTCCTGATATGTTGCAGCCCAGCTGCAGAAGCCGAATGTCACTCTGAAAAATTGAATCGTTAAATTGAGTCATTTGATTAATTAGAAACAAAATAGATTAGTGTTGAAACAATCGAGTCAATTCTGCTAAATTGATTATTAAAATAATCGTCTACTAATTTAGTAATCAAATAATTTTAACTTAACAGTACAGACACTCCTTTGCAGAAAGAACAATCATTTTTTAGTCACAAGATTTCCCACAAGATTTCTACAATGTCTGTGGACTCATATGACCATGGATTAAACTTTATTGTTTTTTAATGAAACATTCCTGTGTTGCTTAGTCACAGTATCCTGTTGAATCGCCCAATGACGACCATAGTTTCAGTTTATCACTAGATTCCATCAGATTGATATTAAAACCAGCTGTTTGACAGGTGTTCTAACAAGGAAAAATGTCTCGCCTTTCCTATGAGATGTGAGGTTCGTCCTTTGCTTTGACAAGCCTAGAAGTAGGACTGGGTGATTAATTGATGGAATATATTAATTAGGGCTGAAATAATAAATCAGATTAATCATGATTAATTCAATTCAGTTTATTTATATACCGCCAATTCACAACACGTCATCTCAAGGCTCTTTACAGTTCACCGGATCATCCAGTCAAATTGATTCAAAATTTTCTATCTAAGGAAAACCAGTTGATTGCATCGACTCATTGACCCTCACACTAAGCATCCTTGTAGCGACAGTGGAGAGGAAAAACTCCCTTTTAACAGGAAGAAACCTCCAGCAGAACCAGGCTCAGTGCGGAGGCCGATTATTGAAATAATCTTCAACTAATTTAGTAATTGATTCATCGTTAACTTGAGTATGGAGACTCTAAAATAAGCCTTTAGCTCACAAAGCGACCAACTTAGAACAGCAATTATATCAAAATTGTTTAAAAAAAATTAACATTTTGCAAGATAAATTTTTGTTTTTTTCATCTTTCAATATACTCTGTCCAGAAGTCAAATGGAAAAGTTTTTGTTTCACCTGGTTTAATTTCATAAAAAAATCTTCTTTGAGGAATCTGGTTAATAATCGATTAATCTGAAAAATATTCAACAGATTAATCGATTTGCAAAATAATCTTTAGCTGCAGCCCTAATATCAATAACATTTTCTGTTTATGGAAATGTAATTTTTGAAAAATAAATACATTTGAGTTTGTTATATTTTAAATGTTTAACAAGCATTTTAACAGCTTCAATTGTGTTGCCCTTTAAATTAAAGGAATAGTACACCCAAAACATGATTAGCCTTCATTTTCTACTCACCCCCATGCTGAACAACACTCTGGAGTACTTTTTTGATATC